ATTTTTGGCTTCAACATAGTCGAACACAGGACTGAACACTCCGAGTCTCGAGTTAATAAAACCGCTGTTCACAGCGTCGTTCAGTTGGAAACACGCGTCTCTCACTCCGAAAGGACCATCAGTGTCGACCTGGCCTAAGCTAGCATCCGTCACTTCGAAGTCCTTGTTGTAGAGGTCGAATATCGATCTCTTAGTGCTAATGCCCTTGTTAGGAACGTCGTGGCTGACGTTCTTGCTGTGAAGGGCGGGGCTGACGCTCTTGCTGTGAAGGGCGGGGCTGACGCTCTTGCTGTGTACTACGGAACTAACACTTTTGCTGTGAACGTCGACTCTTATATCCTTGTTATATACTTCGACTCCCGGATCTTCGTTGTGCAAGTAGAAGCCGCCGAGTCCGGTGTTGATAAAGTCAGTGAGTGTGAAGGAGAGAGGCGCAGCGGTGTGCTGCGGAGAGGGAGAGCTTGTAGTGAAACAGGTCGGCAGATTACCATTATCACAGAGGCGCTCAGAGGCGTCCGTCCTACTTTGATAACCCTCTCCCGAGGAGCTTCCTGTCGCCGTGGTCGTCGCCATCTTGGGTGTCTTTGTGTCGTTCTTGCCCATAAACCTGTAACCCTGCATGAACCTGAAACTTGATCTCGACTTCACCGCCTGTTTCTCCTGCACCTTCGGGAGCACATTTTCCTTCTCTTCGTCTGTCTTCACTGATTTGATTTCCTTGTCTTCGGGCAAGGCGCCATTCCTCTTGACGAATTCCAGCTCTTGGACCAGCTGCTTTCTCGATTTCCTCTGAACGTCGGGAGTTTTCCGGTGAACGTAGAGGATTTTTGGGGATGTTCGGACCTCGTCGATGTCATCAAGGGATGAGGACGCAGACGGAAACTCATTGGTGAGTGGCGGGAGGTCACGGGGGGGTGAGGGGAGATGACCACCCCTGGCAGGTAGGTGTGGAGGGGCGTCCTCCACGGTGCTGCAGGAGTCGTACTGGCTCTCACACACCGACCCTTCAAGTATACTGGTGATGGAGCTCTTGCCGCTTGACCCTGAGCTCCGTATACTCGGGCTCGACGACGACGACGAGGACGACGACGGACTGGAGAAGGCGCTGCGGAAGCTGGCTGTTGAGCCCCGGAGGAAACTACACCCAATTTTAGGTGTGTTTACCTGTGTGTGTTTCTGCTGCTTGATGTCCTCTATGCTGTGACTCTTGGAAGACAGCTGGCCGCCGCCGCCGCCGCTGCTGCTGCTGCTGCTCTTGTCGTCGAAGGAGGCGAAGCGGAGAAGTGGGAAGGACGACCAGGAGGCCCGCTTCAGCTGCACATCCGCCTCCTTCTTGGGCGGCTTCTCCAGGTGCAGCGAGTAGCGGTTGTTGGCGCGACGGAAGGTGAAGAGAGACTCACTCTTACGCTCCTTCATCTTGCCAAACACCACCGCCCACACGCACCTGTTAGGCCACGCCCACTCACCTGCTCAACTGCACCCCGCCAGCCACGCCCACACCTGTTGAAGGAAACAAATAACTGTTACTATTTACACCGTAAATTCATTATTATTTTTGTTATGTCCTACTATTACACACACACACACACACACACACACACACACACACACACACACACACACACACACACACATACACACACACACACACACACACACATACACACACACACACACACACACACCGGGACCAAAGAGCCAAAGCGCGACCCCCGCAAGCACAAATAGGTGAGTGCACACACACACACACACACACACACACACACACACACACACACACACACACACACACACACACACACACACACACACACACACACACACACACACACCGGGACCAAAGAGCCAAAGCTCGACCCCCGCAAGCACAAATAGGTGAGTGCACACACACACACACACACACACACACACACACACACACACACACACACACACACACACACACACACACACACACACACACACACACACACACGTAAGGCAGCTAAGGGACTTTGAAAATAAAAAGATTTAATCATATTGACCAGCGTGTCTCCAGGGACACATGTCAACTTCCTCACATCAGCGGCGCACGCAACGCCGACAACATCCGAGTTGCTTTCCTAAATCTATACAAGATGCCACTCAGGACACTGTGCACAACCTATGTCAGACCAACACTATATTATGCAGCTCCTGTTAGTACCCCATATATAAACACAAGCCAGAACGCCAGAAAGGTCAGAGATATGTCACCAGACTGGTCCCAGACCTGAGAGGGTTAGACTACAAACACCGGGGGAAATAGATCTTACTACATTAAAAAAAGAGACGGGAAAGGAGACATGATCGCGATGTACAAGATCTATAATCTAAGGGTAGAAGACGAGGCAGTTGAGGCGTGTACCACGCCAAGACTTTAATGATCATATACGAGCAATGTGGCTGCCATCATTGCATGGGATGACCGGAAACTGCCCAGGCGGGGCCCAGGAGCTGAAGTTGGGTCCTGCTGCCACATACAGATGAACAACAGTCAGGTGCACACAGCAGGAGGCGAATCCCTCACCGACATAAATAGTTCAGAAAACAAAGAAATCAGAAGAGACGGGAAGCGGTCAAGACTGTATTGTTGGGCTGGAACTAGCGTAGGTGTGGAGTAGGTGTGGAGTAGGTGTGGAGTAGGTGTGGAGTAGGTGTGGAGTAGGTGTGGAGTTGGTGTGGAGTTGGTGTGGAGTAGGTGTGGAGTTGGTGTGGAGTTGGTGTGGAGTAGGTGTGGAGTAGGTGTGGAGTTGGTGTGGAGTAGGTGTGGAGTAGGTGTGGAGTTGGTGTGGAGTAGGTGTGGAGTAGGTGTGGAGTAGGTGTGGAGTAGGTGTGGAGTTGGTGTGGAGTTGGTGTGGAGTAGGTGTGGAGTAGGTGTGGAGTTGGTGTGGAGTAGGTGTGGAGTTGGTGTGGAGTAGGTGTGGAGTTGGTGTGGAGTTGGTGTGGAGTAGGTGTGGAGTTGGTGTGGAGTAGGTGTGGAGTTGGTGTGGAGTAGGTGTGGAGTAGGTGTGGAGTTGGTGTGGAGTAGGTGTGGAGTTGGTGTGGAGTTGGTGTGGAGTTGGTGTGGAGTAGGTGTGGAGTAGGTGTGGAGTTGGTGTGGAGTAGGTGTGGAGTAGGTGTGGAGTAGGTGTGGAGTAGGTGTGGAGTAGGTGTGGAGTTGGTGTGGAGTAGGTGTGGAGTAGGTGTGGAGTTGGTGTGGAGTAGGTGTGGAGTTGGTGTGGAGTAGGTGTGGAGTAGGTGTGGAGTTGGTGTGGAGTTGGTGTGGAGTAGGTGTGGAGTAGGTGTGGAGTAGGTGTGGAGTTGGTGTGGAGTTGGTGTGGAGTTGGTGTGGAGTAGGTGTGGAGTTGGTGTGGAGTTGGTGTGGAGTAGGTGTGGAGTAGGTGTGGAGTTGGTGTGGAGTAGGTGTGGAGTAGGTGTGGAGTTGGTGTGGAGTTGGTGTGGAGTAGGTGTGGAGTTGGTGTGGAGTTGGTGTGGAGTAGGTGTGGAGTTGGTGTGGAGTTGGTGTGGAGTAGGTGTGGAGTAGGTGTGGAGTTGGTGTGGAGTAGGTGTGGAGTTGGTGTGGAGTAGGTGTGGAGTAGGTGTGGAGTAGGTGTGGAGTAGGTGTGGAGTAGGTGTGGAGTTGGTGTGGAGTTGGTGTGGAGTAGGTGTGGAGTTGGTGTGGAGTAGGTGTGGAGTAGGTGTGGAGTAGGTGTGGAGTTGGTGTGGAGTTGGTGTGGAGTAGGTGTGGAGTAGGTGTGGAGTTGGTGTGGAGTAGGTGTGGAGTAGGTGTGGAGTTGGTGTGGAGTTGGTGTGGAGTAGGTGTGGAGTAGGTGTGGAGTAGGTGTGGAGTTGGTGTGGAGTTGGTGTGGAGTAGGTGTGGAGTAGGTGTGGAGTAGGTGTGGAGTAGGTGTGGAGTAGGTGTGGAGTAGGTGTGGAGTAGGTGTGGAGTTGGTGTCAGATGTGACAGACAATTTAGGTGTTTACAGCGTGTTAAGGAAGAGGATAAAACAGTTGGCTATATCACAGCCCAGGATGGTGCCGGGGGTATTATTGTGGACATTGTTGGCTTGTCCCGCCCCTCTCCACCTTCTCTCACTCTTTATATATTCCTTGGTCGTGTACACCTTTGTCTCTCACTCACTCTCACACACACTCCCTCACTCTCACACACACACTCCCTCACTCTCACACACACACGCTCCCTCACTCTCACACGCACGCTCCCTCACTCTCACATAAACGCTCCCTCACTCTCTCTCACAAACACACACAAGTCAAATGGCGACTAAAGTTCAACCCAAGTATACGTAAGGCAATGAAACTAGGCGGAGGAAACAGGAGGTCAGACACAGGATACCGAATGGGAGATGAAGTCCTTCATGAAACGGACAAAGAGAAAGATCTAGGAGTTGATATCACGGCCAAACCTGTCTCCTGAAGCCCACATCAAAACAATAACATCGGCGGCGTATGCGAGGCTGGCTAACGTCAGAACTGCCTTCAGGAACCTTGTATACCACATATGTAAGACCAGTCCTGGAGTATGCGGCCCGTACCTTGTCAAGCACAAGACGAAGCTGGAAAAAAATTCAGAGGTATGCCACTAGGCTAGTCCCAGAACTAAGAGGCATGAATTACGAGGAATGGCTGTGTGAAATGCACCTCACGACACTGGAAGACAGAAGAGTAAGGGGAGACATGATCACTACCTACAAAATTCTCTGAGGAATTGACAGGCTAGATAAACTGTTTAACACTGGTGGTACACGAACAAGGGGACACAGGTGGAAACTGACTATCCACATGAGCCACAGGGACGTTAGAAAGAACTTTTTCAGTGTCAGAGTAGTTAACGGTTGGAATGCATTAGGAAGTGATGTGGTGGAGGCTGACTCCATACACAGTTTCAAGTGTAGATATAATAGAGCCCAGTAGGCTCAGGAACCTGTACATCAGTTGATTGACGGTTGAGAGGCGGGACCAAAGAGCCAGAGCTCAACCCCCGCAAGCACAATAGAAATAAAGTGCATATATATATATATATATATATATATATATATATATATATATATATATATATGTATATATATATATATATATATATATATATATATATATATATATATATATATATATATATATATATATATATATATATATATATATATATATATATATATATATATATATATATATATATATATATATATATATATATATATATATATATATACATATATATATATATGTTGCGTTGCAACATATATATATATATATATGTTGACCTGTTGCGTTGCACTGTACCTATAAAGTGCATATATATACCATATATATATATATATATATATATATATATATATATATATATATATATATATATATATATATATATATATATATATATATATATATATATATATATGGTATATATATGCACTTTATAGGTACAGTGCAACGCAACAGGTCGAGTAAGGCCAGCAGGCAGGGCAAAAACAATGACAAGCCGCCGGTTTCCTGTCCCCGTCGAGGTCAATACACGGTGGCCCTCAGGTGAGCAAAGGGCTACACCCCCAGTTCCCGTAGCCAGTCTCGGGCGACTCATTTTTGTAAGTATGTATGTACTTCTTCCCCGAAATTAAATTATCATTAACACACACACACACACACACACACACACACACACACACACACACACACACACAAGCAGCAACACACACACAAGCAGCAACACACACACACACACACACACACACACAAGCAGCAACACACACACAAGCAGCAACACACACACACACACACACACACACACACACACACACACACACAAGCAGCAACACACACACAAGCAGCAACACACACACACACACACACACACACACACACACACACACACACACACACACACACACACACACACACACACACACACACACACACACACACACACATTACCAACGACACAGTTTCCCCCAAAATAGCCCAGTAACATTGGAGAGTGTTCCACCTGTGGTGACGCTGGCCGCTATTACTGTCGCCTGGTGGGGACCTTGCCAGCCACGTTTTCTATCTTCACCTGACCATCATTTGTCGATAAATTTTACGATTAACTAAGGCATTTTAATCGGAGTATTAAAAGAACCATATCGCTGTTATCTATGATTATTCAAATAAATTTAATTATGTTTTAGTACCTTGAGGTTACCTTGAGGTGCTTTCGGGGCTTAGCGTCCCCACGGCCCGGTCGTTGACCAGGCTTCCTGGTTGCTGGACTGGTCAACCAGGCTGTTGGACGCGGCTGCTCGCAGCCTGACCTACGAATCACAGCCTGGTTGATCAGGTATCCTTTGGAGGTGTTTATAGAGTTCTCTCTTAATTAAACACTGTGAGGGGTCGGCCAGTTATGCCCCTTATGTGTAGTGGAAGTGTGTTGAACAGTCTCGGGCCTCTGATGTTGATAGTTCTCTCTTGAACACTGTGAGGGGTCGGCCAGTTATGTCCCTTATGTGTAGTGGAAGTGTGTTGAACAGTCTCGGGCCTCTGATGTTGATAGTTCTCTCTTGAACACTGTGAGGGGTCGGCCAGTTATGTCCCTTATGTGTAGTGGAAGTGTGTTGAACAGTCTCGGGCCTCTGATGTTGATAGTTCTCTCTTGAACACTGTGAGGGGTCGGCCAGTTATGTCCCTTATGTGTAGTGGAAGTGTGTTGAACAGTCTCGGGCCTCTGATGTTGATAGTTCTCTCTTGAACACTGTGAGGGGTCGGCCAGTTATGTCCCTTATGTGTAGTGGAAGCGTGTTGAACAGTCTCGGGCCTCTGATGTTGATAGTTCTCTCTTGAACACTGTGAGGGGTCGGCCAGTTATGTCCCTTATGTGTAGTGGAAGCGTGTTGAACAGTCTCGGGCCTCTGATGTTGATAGTTCTCTCTTGAACACTGTGAGGGGTCGGCCAGATATGTCCCTTATGTGTAGTGGAAGTGTGTTGAACAGTCTCGGGCCTCTGATGTTGATAGTTCTCTCTTGAACACTGTGAGGGGTCGGCCAGTTATGTCCCTTATGTGTAGTGGAAGTGTGTTGAACAGTCTCGGGCCTCTGATGTTGATAGTTCTCTCTTGAACACTGTGAGGGGTCGGCCAGTTATGTCCCTTATGTGTAGTGGAAGCGTGTTGAACAGTCTCGGGCCTCTGATGTTGATAGTTCTCTCTTGAACACTGTGAGGGGTCGGCCAGTTATGCCCCTTATGTGTAGTGGAAGCGTGTTGAACAGTCTCGGACCTCTGATGTTGATAGAGTTCTCTCTTGAACACTGTGAGGGGTCGGCCAGTTATGTCCCTTATGTGTAGTGGAAGCGTGTTGAACAGTCTCGGGCCTCTGATGTTGATAGAGTTCTCTCTCAGAGTACCTGTTGCACCTCTGCTTTTCAACAGGGGTATTCTGCACATCCTGCCATGCCGCCTGGTCTCATGTGGTGTTATTTCTGTGTGCAGGTTTGGGATCAGTCCCTCTACTATTTTCCACGTGTAAATTATGATGTATCTCCCCCGCCTGCGCTCAAGGGAGTACAGATTTAGGCTCTTTAGTCGGTCCCAATAGTTTAAATGTTTTACTGAGTGGATTCTAGCAGTAAAGGATCTCTGCACGCTCTCAAGGTCAGCAATTTCTCCAGCTTTGAAAGGTGCTGTCATTGTGCAGCAGTACTCCACTCTAGAGAGCACAAACGTTTTGAAAAGTATCATCATCGGTATAGCATCTCTAGTGTGAAAAGTTCTTGTTATCCAACCTGTCATTTTTCTTGCAGTTGTGACGGCTACTTTATTGTGTTCTTTAAAGGTAAGGTCTTCCGACATGAGTACACCCAGATCCTTTACATTGCCTTTTCGTTCTATGTTATGATTTGACTGAGTTTTGTACGTGGTTTCAGTTTTAATATTTTCATTTTTTTTCCGTAGCGCATTAGCTGGAACTTATCTTCGTTCCTATCTTAAATTTGTTATCTATAAATTAAAAAAAATAATGCTTCTACTGAGTACTATGTATAAATAAGACACACTTATGTAATACTCGACATATACTTGCCCAAAACGCCTTGCGCCCTAGTGGCTTTACAAGAATGTAAAAACCCTTGTATAAATAAATAAATAAATAAAAAATAAATAAATAAATAAATAAAATATTCCTCCCATTCATAAAAAATAGTGTCCTGTGTCGGGGGACAGGAAGCCAGAGTGTATTCATACACGTTTTGGCTTCTCATACACGTAGTTTTAAGTTTTATTCTAAGTATTTTCCCTCACACTTTGCCCGAAACGCTGTGCGTATTAGTGGCTTTAGACAGTGTATATTAGTTTTATTTAGAAATCCAACATTCTGTTTGTAACTCATCTTGTATGTATGTACTTTTATCTACATAAACATTTATTTACTTATAATTTTATTTATCCAGGTCCCCCCCCCCCAAAGGCCACATTACAGACCCCGCCCAGGATGTAACCCCACAACAAGCTGACTCCTGGGTACCTACTTACTGCTGGGTGAACAGAGACATTAGGTAAAAGGAAATGTGTCCAACCATTTCTGTCCTGTCCGGGATCCGAACCCAGAATTCTCAATTGTGCGTCGAGAACGAACCCGACTTTACTACCCTTTAATCAGTAATCAAGGGTACCTTAGTCAATAATAATAAAAACTTTGTTAAAGCTTTTGACAAGGTACGCACTTCTCGGCCTACTATGCAATGTCCAATTTGCCTAATAGGCCAAGTGATTTTCTTTATATTCAAACAATTGTTTTCAATTGGTTTATTTGAATTATTACTAATATATTATATTAGGAACATAAATTATTGACTTAGGTATGATGGCTTAGGTTCGGTTTAGATAGATTAGGTTCCGTTATATATCACGTTAGTTTTAACTCAAATTAAACAAGAAATTAAATTATTCATAATGAAATGAATAGCTTTATCATTTCATAAAAAATTAAAAATATATATAAATTCAGACAAACTTTACTTATTAGG